ATAATAATAGTCAACAATAACACAAATAATAAAGACATAAAACGTATGCAGTTATGCTCACATTCACTTTTACCATCTCTTCGTAGGCAGCAGAACATTTAACACATGTTTAACCCTCTTATTACCATAATTATAACTGGTATTTATTTTTTCTGGCTGTGAAATAACACCAAAAAGTGCAACATGTTTGTAACTCTGCTCCTTTTTTCAGAACAATCTCAGCTTTCAGTGTCTGGTTTGTATTTAGTATTTATGTTTATAGAATTCTGTAAAAATAAATGAAAAAAAAAAACAGATTTGAATTCTTTACATTTGTTACTAAATATGAAACTCAAAAGGACTTGGTCAAACTATTTCAAATGAACAGTTACAACTCTGAACTTTATTACAATCAGAAAATAGTGTGAACCCTGCCTCGTGTTTATCAGTTTTTACTTTTTCTATTTTCTAAATTTCTGACTGCAGCCCTGTCTGTGACCACAGGTAGGTCTATGCTCTGGTTAAGAGAATGGCATGAAGTAAAATAAATATTAGGTAAGATAAAATAACACTCACACATCACAACTGTATGGACATTTCTATCAGCATTATAATTACTGATAAGCCAGATAAAAAGTAATAATAAAAGGTGACATCTAAACATTTCATGACAACAAGTAAACTAATAAAATTCTGCACAGATTTTAATTATATTTTCAGCTAAAAAATATTAATTGTATGTATAAATAATGCTGGAATGAAGCTGAATCTTACATTTAGTAAATAGTTGATAAAACAAGTTTGACAGTAATCAGTCCCTCATGTCACCAGGAACCTCTGGGACACCTGATAAAGGTGGATTTTCTTTGAGACGTTTCCATAACTTTATAAAAGCTGCTGATGCAGATGATCAGTTATCTCCTCCGTTTCGTTCTCCGCTCTCCCGTCGCGGTTCGCCTCGTTTCCTGTGATGCTGAAAAGCTGGTTTCCCTCTAACAGCGATTTTCGGAATAACATGAATTGTATCGTGCAATACCTCGTTGGAAAGCTCATTTTATGTGCTTTTAAAAACCGTTGTAGTTTTTTTAATTCGATCAGCCATTCAGAAGTTATCACGCGGAGAATCTCTCATGTCCTCTTTTCTGTCTCAGACATGCTGACTCTGGCCAACACGCACTAACCACGGACTTAAATGTTAATGTAAACAAAAGCTCTGATATTAAAATCCAACCAGCTGATGTGATGCAGGCAGAATAAAAAAAACTCACAGCTAGATGAGCGCAGACTCCTGCCGACAAGAAAAACACTGGTTTCAGTCGTCTCTATGGCGACAGATTTAAAGGGCCTGCAGATTTAAAGGGCCTGCAGGGACAGCCAATCACACGTTGGCATGACGGGCAGAGCTAATCAGTGAGCTTGTGGGCGGGTCTAAGGGTTCAGCTTGAGGAGGCTGCCTCCACATGGTCCTAGTGCCTGACCTGTATCCAAGTATGATAGTTTTGGACCGTAAAATCTGACGGAAAACCGAAAAAAGGGCACTTGGGGCACTTCGGACAAAAGGGGCAGGTGCTCAAGCACCCTCCGCCTCCGTGTGTGTGTGTGTGTGTGTGTGTGTGTGTGTGTGTGTGTGTGTGTGTGTGTGTGTGTGTGTGTGTGTGTGAACCTATGGTATGAGTTGTTTCTGCCAGTTGAATCTCTTGCCCGCTCCAATTCTGCAGCTGTATACTAGCAGTTTCTTCCTAAATGGGTACATAAATAACCATGTTTTTAGGGGGTCGTACAGCTCCTTGTGTTTCTCAACTTCCATAATTAATTTAAAGTCATCCATCTTAACTGCTTGCCTCAGACTTTCTGCCTCTCTGTCCTGTTTGTTCCGGGGAAAAGACACCCAAAACCACACACCCCTTCACGTGGTCACACACGCACACAAGTTCAATGTGTGTGTGTGTTCGTGTGGTTTTTCTGCAGTGTCTGATTACGAACACATTTGACTATTGCGGGATTTTATTTTGAAATGCTTGATTTTGTTAACTTTACCGGCCTGCCTCTTATGTCTAGGTTGGACTTCCTGCCAGAATTGACGCGATTCACTCGCGGCTCGCGAAAAAAAATAGAGCCAACGCCGAAATGATCGCTGCACGGCGCGGGCTGGAGCGCCGGCGCGCGGCAATTCGCGGCGCTTCGGCGGCCCATGTGGTCTATAGAATAGCTTAACAAGGGCGCCGAATGAAGGCGGTCCCATTTTCGCGGCGCTTCGCAGCGCTTCCGCGGCCGGTGTGTCCCCGGCGTAACGCCCCCCGCAATGCCAGACAGCTGGCATGAATTAGTTGTTTAAGCTGCCATATTTGGATGTGATCATATTCAACTTCACATGCAAAATGAGCATTTCTCTTGGCAATTTTTAACTGAGTGACTGTCCTGTTTAGTTTTTGTTCCTATCACTGCCATAAAATGTAATCTTTAACATCCAATCTGATGTCATTTTGTCCTCCAAAGTCTGCATAGTCTAATCTAGGAAAGAACTTAAATGGAACATCCACTCCTGGGAATAACTAGAACCATCTTCAACGATTCCCACAATGACTGACTAAAGATTTTCCAGAAAGGACCATAAGTATTTCCTTGGTAATGGGCATACAGAAATTGCAACTTATTATGTTTGTTCTGCAACTTTTCAATAAAGAGCCATTTTAAGTCAAATACTTTGATCAATTGATACATGGAAAAGTACCTAATGACTAATGCAATGTGCCACAGGCCCTTAAGCCTAAGCTTTATCAATTTAGAAGATTGACATTATAAAAATTGCCAAGTTGTTTCTGGTGCAAACAAGCAGCGATATCACGGGTATTACCAAAAAGAAAACCCATCTCCATACACAAACAGGAAATATCTCCAAGGACAAAGGTGAAAAATCCCATCCATGAGGGGGAATGCATTCCAGAGCCGGCCCTCGGTGAGGGAAAGCTCAGAGTTTTATCCGGGTTTACCAGAATGACTGGAGTCCATCCAAGGATAAATTAGCCAGACATTTCTGTGTTCTACTTGATCTAGGATATCCCCGTTGTACCGCCTTTCACTGTCTGGCTGCACAACATCCCTGAGGTAGTTTTTTGCCTGCTTCATTTTAACATTATATATCCCCACTTAGCTGTCAATCAATTACCACATATGCAAACCACATCATTAGGGTTAAATTTGTAGCAAAAATTAAGTTAGGTAATATCCTGCATCAATTGTACATCCTTGCAAATGCAGGAGTTAAGTGTGCGCTCTGTAACAGGGGGATTGCAGGTTCAAGCCTTGTCTGGAGCAGTAATGTTAGTGGGCTGATTGTGTCACACAAGCCGGCTTGCTTTAGGGTTTGCACAAGAGCGCCCAGTGTTCTGCAGCCTTGCCTCTGTCAGTGCACCCCAGGGTAACTGTGGCTACAATATATCTAATAACCATCAATGTGTGTGTGTGTGTGTGTGTGTGGGTGGACGGGCTGTGTTGTAAAGCACCTTGGGGGGTTGTTGAACCCTAGAAGGTGCTACATCAAAGACAGGTCATTTACCAATAATATCCTGCATATCAGCTTACATTTGCAACCAAAATAATAGGCTTATTTATTTTCTATTGTATACATCTTAACTTTTTTTTGTTTGTATTATTACGACAAGTAATGATTTAATATATTCACAAATGATGATACAAGTACACTTGGGGATGCAGGATTATGTACCAAAATGCATGGGTATTAAGCAGCATGTGTACGCATGATACCTAATTTAGACAAAGATGAAAATCCATACATGAAAATCTCCACACAAATAAAACACACCAGAATTTTAAATACTTGGTTGAATCTAACCTTCAAAGAGGAATTATTGGTATCATTAAACTGATAAACTGCATTTGTAATGGATCCTCACCAGCTGATAAAGATGTAAACACAGCAGCATTATCATGACATTAGGATGAACTTTCTGTAGCCTGCTGAAAAGTGACAATTCATTTTGATAACAGACACTGAAGAAAATTAACCCCTCCACCTTTGTTTCCTCTCACAATTTATTGCTATTGCATTTATTAACAGATGTAAGAAATATGCTGGTTTTTAAAGAAAAATCTCTACATTTTACAATGACAGCTACTTTAAACCAAAACAAACCCAGAGATCCTGACCAGTTATTCAAACTCTTCAAATGGACTAAAAACTACAAACATTAATTATTGATGACAATGATGTGATGAGTATGAAAATTGCTTTGCAAATTTACACTTTTGACCAAATGCAAAGTTTCACAAGTTAGCGTCAGCTTAAAAAAGACAAATCCCCCACAAACGTTAAGTATCACAAACCAGTTCACACTTACCTGGTTTCATCTCACCTATAAGCTTCATTGTAAGGCAAAATGTGTGATCTCTCCAGTGTAAAAGCCTGCTGAATACTACATCAAGAATTTTGCTGTTTAAATAAGGTTTTAGTTGGGCTGGGTGTTTAATCAATACATCAAAACGCTTAGAATGAAACCCTTTGAAACATTCTTCAAAACCAGTGAACTTTATCAGGCTGATCTTGTCTCACATCATAAGTTACACAGGGTAAGTCAGAGGGCAGGAATCCAGGCCCCTTCAGCCAGCCTCCTGACAAGAGTCGACTTCTGATTGGCTGAGCGAAGCCAGGCCCACTTATCAGGAGCTTTTTCACCACTGGAAACTGACCAATCACAGCCCTCCAAATGCAACCTGAGGGTCCATAAACACAAAAAAATAGGTCTCCCTGACGACGGCAGGCTGGGAGAACGAGCAGCCCGATGAGACTCAAATTAAATTAAAAACAATTAATAGTTCTGGATTAAGTTTGCTGTATAGTTTCGATAACACAGCTAACGAACATATGAATGAAAATCCTGAACACGCGCAGAGAGTCGGCGGGCGCTCGTGTGCAAACCAGAAAGCAGCCAGCTCGTGTGACACGATCAGCCTCAAAGGAGATGACTAAAGAAATGCTATAAAAGTATCGGTTTGTTTCTTACGTGGTCTGTGCCGTTTCATCGACTCGGTCCTCCTCCGCAGCCGGCTCTTCTTAGCTGGGGAACCGTTGCACTCCTTGTCACCCCCGCGCTGCAGGTGATGCATGCTGTCAAACGCTCCGCCGTTGCAGTCGCTGGATCCGGTGCTCAAACCAATCGCATTACCGCTACAGCAGCTGCCGTTCGAGTTTACGGCGACATGGGTTTGAAACCCCCTTGGACTCTGGCCGTTGTTCACGTGATAAGGTCCCGACGCCCCCTTTTTGTCCACCAGTGACTTAGCTTTATCCATAGCAGCGGTAGCCAAGCATTTGCAGGAAACTGTTGGAAAACGAACTCAATTATTCGGGCTAGTTTAGCTTAGCTAGCTAACAGTAGCTCCGCGACAGCCGTGCGACCAGCGAATTTGGCTTTCACCCTGAAATAACAAACAAAATATCGGCGTTACATTTTTTTTCGGTATCCTTGATTGACTGTTGATGCAAGCACTCGCTAAAATACACCGTGTCCTTTCAGGTCACTCGCGGTCATTTCCCCTCATTCAGAACCTGGCAGTGCAGCAGTAGCCAGTGTGTGTGTTTGTACAACACGCGTGTGGAGTGTGTGTGCGTTATTGGACCGCTACGTCACACCAGCTCCTCCAGTCTAGGCTCGAACTCGTTCACCTCCCCAGACCGGTTTTCTCAGCTCTCTGCTGTAAAGCGACACCGTCATTCTGAACTTCAAGCAAGAAAAAAATAAAAAAAATACATAACTTGTTCCGTGTCGCCTTCGCGTGCCCCGCTGGTCCGCACAGCTGCGGGTGCTTTATTTAAAAGCCTCGCTGTGTGCCGTCATCCTCATTCTCCGCGGTCCTTTCCCAGCGCGGTGTGCGCTCAAAGCTGCCACGCACTTGATTTGTTTGTTGTTCACGAAAGTGAACTGAAGTAACCCTGAAATTGAACTGCCCCCAAACGCGATAAAATACTTTCTTTTTAGGAATTCTCAATCTGTTATATGACAGCTGCCAGATATAAATCAGAACATTAGACAGCACGCAGCCTTCCATCTAGACACAAAGGTCAAACTGGAAACCGATAAAGGAAAATCAGTCACCTGAAGAGGGCATTTTTCTCAATAAATAAACAACTAGAAAAATAAAATTAGACATAATCGCAAATGAATATGGTAAAGAACCAGTAATAAATACTAGCATAATTATAATTTAAAGTATTTGTATACATGATGGTATAATAACCTTCACAAGATATCCTAGACATTACAAGGAAATTCTATAAAGTCCAAATTGAAATAAATAAATTACCAATATTCCCATGTTGGGTAATTATTTGGGTTAAATGGTGCTAATGCACAAGTACTGCCAACCTCTGGTTAAAGTACAATTATGCTGTACAATTTTAAATGTGAGTGATTTTTAACCTGTACATATAATGCATCTAAAAACTAAGTGCATTTTACAAAGATACAATGCATGTGCTTGGAAAGCCTCTCCTCACATTTGGCTTCATTTTTTTGAATTTCAAATATTTTATTACAATCTCAGGACTTTGCTACACCTCTACTTTCCAAATCACTTCTCCTTTTGAGACATGTATCACAATAATGAGATATTTGAGGTCGCTGTGAGGGCTGTCAGCTTTAGCCGATGTTTGAATCCTAATCCAATAAAAATAACTCTTATCAGACTGAAGCTTAACATCTGGATCAGGTACGTCTTGTGCAGCTTCTCCTTCAGCACATTTCACTTGAGGAGCTCGTACAGAGAACACCAGTGGGCACAACTCTTTTTTTTCCCAGTTATTGATTCTACCAAGGCAGTTCAGTCCCATCCCAGCTGTACGCTTTTCCTGTTTTGTCAATATTCAGTGAATTTATGATGCTCATCAGACAGCTCACAGAGTGTTCGGGACTAAACAGCTTCTCTTTTGGAACATTCTTGTGATAAGGTCTGGAGAGGTCTGTGTTGACTGTTCCTGGATGTATGGACACACACACCACCTGAAAACATTGCAAAAGATAATGATCGTCTCTCTGAAAGCATCTCAGACAGAAAAATAGGCAACATTGATGTAGAAGTGTGAGTAAATTGTACTTCTACAAACAAAAGAAGCATCACTGTAAACAGTATTCAACATAATCGGATAGCTTAACATAGACAACTATGGTGAAGAAATCTAAAGCCTCGTAAAGTGAGATACCAAAATATCCACAACAATACTAATATTGATAACTTTTTCTAATGAGTCTGTGGTGATTTAGTAACTAAACTGACTAATTTTAAACCATGTAATGGTGTGTTGTGATGGTCTAACAGTGATGTCATCTATTTGTATTCTTGAATCTAAAAATAACACATTTGTACAGGTGCTGGCCAGTAAATTAGAATATCATCAAAAGGTTGAAAATATTTCAGTAATTCCATTCAAAACGTGAAACTTGTACATTATATTCATGCAATGCACACAGACCAATGTATTTCCGATGTTTATTACGTTTAATTTTGATATTTATAGGTGACAACCAATGAAAACATCAAATCTGGTATCTCAGAAAATTAGAATATTCTAAAGGCCAATGAAAAAATGTTTGTTTCTCTAATGTTGGCCAACTGAAAAGAATGAACATGAAAAGAATGTGCATGTATAGCACTCAATACTTAGTCGGGGCTCCTTTTGCCTCAATAACTGCAGTAATGCGGCGTGGCATGGACTCGATCAGTCTGTGGCACTGCTCAGGTGTTATGAGAGCCCAGGTTGCTCTGATAGTCGTCTTCAGCTCCTCTGCATTGTTGGGTCTAGCGTATTGCATCCTCCGCTTCACAATACCCCATAGATTTTCTATGGGGTTAAGGTCAGGCGAGTTTGCTGGCCAATCAAGGACAGGGATACCATGGTCCTTGAACCAGGTGCTGGTGGTTTTGGCACTGTGTGCAGGTGCCAAGTCCTGTTGAAAGGTGAAGTCTGCATCCCCATAAAGTTGGTCAGCAGCAGGAAGCATGAAGTGCTCTAAAACTTCCTGGTAGACGGCTGCATTGACCCTGGACCTCAGGAAACAGAGTGGGCCAACACCGGCAGATGACATGGCACCCCACACCATCACTGACGGTGGAAACTTTACACTGGACCTCATGCAACGTGGATTCTGTGCTTCTCCGCTCTTCCTCCAGACTCTGGGTCCTTGATTTCCAAAGGAAATGCAGAACTTGCTTTCATCAGAAAACATAACTTTGGACCACTCAGCATCAGTCCAGTCCTTTTTGTCCTTGGCCCAGGCGAGACGCTTCTTGCGCTGTTTCATGTTCAAGAGTGGCTTGACACACGGAATGCGACACCTGAATCCCATGTCTTTCATGAGTCTCCTCGTGGTGGTTCTTGAAGCGCTGACTCCAGCTGCAGTCCACTCTTTGTGGATCTCCCCCACATTTTTGAATGGGTTTGTCGTCACAATTCTCTGCAGGGTGCGGTTATCCCTAGAGCTTGTACACTTTTTTCTACCACATTTTTTCCGTCCCTTCGCCTGTCTGTTAATGTGCTTGGACACAGAGCTCTGCGAACAGCCAGCTTCTTTAGCAATCACCTTTTGTGTCTTGCCCTCCTTGTGCAAGGTGTCAATGATTGTCTTTTGGACAGCTGTTAAGTCAGAAGTCTTCCCCATGATTGTGGTGCCTTCAAAACAAGACTGAGGGACCTTTTAAAGGCCTTTGCAGGTGTTTTGAGTAAATCAGCTGATTAGAGTGGCAGCAGGTGTCTTCTATATTCAGCCTTTTCAGAATATTCTAATTTTTTGAGATACCAAATTTGGAGTTTTCATTAGTTGTCACTTATGAATATCAAATTTAAATGTAATGAACATTGGAAATACATTGGTCTGTGTGCATTGCATGAATATAATGTACAAGTTTCACGTTTTGAATGGAATTACTGAAATATTTTCAACCTTTTGATGATATTCTAATTTACTGGCCAGCACCTGTAAATAAATTAGGTCATTTTAAAAAGGCAAAATATGACAAATTTTCTTAAGTTATAACAGTTTTATGGTTGTTAAAAAAATATTCTCATTAAGTTCTTTGCATAAAATCCCTCCCACAAAAACAGTATCAGCAGTTTTATTTTTGACCGTTTCAGGACCTTCCAAAATGAGCCATTTCAGGGCTCTGTCACTTTAGGAAAACAAGCTGTTAATGGCCACGCCCCCCCCCCCCCCCCCCCCCCCCCGGCTGCTATGAGTTGAGCAGCTCTAATATTCGGGAGGGTCTTGGAGTAGAGCCACTCCTCCCCCAGCAGCAGCTCTCTCTTGAATGTGAAAACAGGTTCTATTCTAATTTCCCCATTTGTGACATCACAAAGGGGGATTTTTTTTAATCAAACATCTAATTTTAGGCACATTACTTCTAAAACCTAACACTGACATAATATAAATGAGCATTTTTTAATCTCATCTCTGAATTCACTCACCCTGGGTCGACTGCGTCCCAGCTCTATGGATAAGTTCCTGGTAGCCATGTTTAGAGCTGCTTTAGACATTCTGTAGCTGTACCACCCCCCAAGTCCTGAGAGGTGAGAAAAGAACGTTCAAAGCAGATAAGCATGTGTTCACATTAAAATGTATTTAAAATAGTAAAGCCGTATTTCATTGTTTAGTAATCTTGCTCTGTTTGCGGTGTGGTCTGCATGATGGAATGTACCGTTGTCTCCAATGGACCCCACTTTAGCTGTGATGTTGGCGATGATGCCGCTGTGATGCTTGGCTTTCACTGCAGGTTGCTGTCCAAAAGCACCGCTGCCTTTCTGGAGGAGGGGAGCAAAATATTTGGCCATCACCAGGGGACCCACAGTGTTGGTTGTCAGAGTGGAAATTACACCCTGAAAACGAAAATAAGTCACGAAGTTAGTGGTATAATGAAATCTGCAATGTGTAGATAGCATGGTTTAAAGTATGTTTTAATATGTTTGAGTTTGTAATTGATGATTTAAAAACCTGTGGAAAAATACTCTGTTGATTCTCTGAGCCTCACCGGGGACATTGATCACATATTTGACCTTTTCAAAGTGACATCATGAACTTAATCTAATCTTTACAGACATTTTAAGTTTTACCTGTGCAGAAACATCCCTCAGGCTGGTCTCTCCTCTCTTGGAAGGGTGAAGCATCGCTGAGGAGTTGATGAGGAGATCCAGACGACCAAAGTTCTGCTTAACCTGCTCTGCTGCTTCAAGGATCTCCTGCTCGTGGTTCACGTCCAGCTTTAAAACCGTGAGTCTGCCCGGGTGTTGGCCTGAAAGGCCCCGGAGCTCGGAGGACCCGTCAGGGTTTCGGCATGTCGCGATGACAACAGCAAGGCTTTTATTTTTTAAAATGTGTTTGCAGAATTCAAGCCCTAACCCTCTGCTGGCACCCTGGATGAGAGCAACGGGGACCGCCATAGCAGAGAAGTAGTTATAAAAGAGGAGTGCTTGCTGCCTTCAATTACACTGAAGCTTCGAAAAGTTGAGTTTTACGAGTTAAAACCATAAGTAGATCGGTGAAAGATCTTTTTAATAACAAATTTAGCGGATATATGATAGAAATTGAACATAATTTAGTAACAACCACGCAAAATGTGTTACGCTTTGTTAGAAAGTCTTAATTCTTACTGTTGGAAAAAATGATTCCAACGTCACCTGAATGTAGCACATTTCACAACAAGTAAAGCGCGCCCCCATGAGGTCATTGTTGAATGCGTCAGCACAACTTTAGCACATAACGTGACAGTCTGATTTTGCTTTTGATTGAAATGAAATAAAAGTAAATAAAAAACTATATAAAAGAAAACAATGAGGACAAAAAAGCGGTGAAAATACGGTATGAACAAAAAATAGTCAAAAAATAGTATAGTCATCAATAAATTAAATAAATATCAATCAAGTTTCTTTGTATAACACTTTCCACAACCCTGGAAGTGCTTAACCAAAGAATGAAAGGTAAAAAACAAAAACAAAAATAAAATAAAAATAAAATAAATGTAAGTTCATATTAAAAAATATAAATAGTGAGACCTTAAAATCAATAACTAAAATAAAACATAAGGAAGTTATATTATTTATTTAATGCATTTATACGGTGAAAATAAATTATGATTTCCTGATTAGTCGTTTGAAAGTTTCTAAAAACAACAAACACAGGCTATAAAACTATTATGAGGACAAAGAAAATAAATAAATAAATTTTAGTGGAATGTGGCAAAACCCTCAACATTTCTGTCCTTGAATAAATAATATGAAATTAAGTTATTTATATATAAGTCAAAAATTCGTTTGTCTAGTTTGTAAATACGAAATACCATTCCAAGCCCATAGAGGGCGGTAAAACTAATAACTTTAAAACGGACGGATACTCTTTGTTAAAAATATATCGTGATTACGGTTAGGGTTACTCAATAAATACATATATACAAATATGCACACTACAAATAGCAAATATTTGTCTGGTAATTAAACTAGAAATATAAAAAATGACCAAATAGATTGAAGATTTTCAAAGAAGAAGTTGGTTGCTTAGCGACCATTAGCACAGCGTCATTTCGTGAGCTAGGCTAATCGCGTAGCTAACGCATGGAGCTCGTCACCATAAATGTTGCATAAATGCCACCTAAAAGAGGACCGTTGCAACTCGTCCAGAGAGAAATCGAAGAAGTCGGAAGACAGGTTTGTTTAGCAGCAATGCATACATTTGTGCCGCTTTTTAATACGAAAAAACAAAACAAAACTCAATGAAGTATCAGACTGCGACCGTTGCACAAACTGTGACAATAAAGAACCACTTACGAGTCGTCCAAAGGCTTGGACCTGGACTTTTTCCCGTCTATTTAAAAAAATATAAACCTTTTACTGGTGCTTTTTGATCTAGTTTAGATAAATAACGCACTGTGTACATTCACTCGCTGAAATAGTTGAAATAAAACTATCATTTGGCTCGTAAATTTAAAGTTGATGTTTCTAAAATACAATTGGTGGTCTATTTAAAGAGCTTTGAGGCCGAAGGCAAAGCTTATTATAGTAAAAATAGAGATTACATTTATTTTTCTTCCGTTATTCAACATAAATCAGTATTTACACAGTGACATTTACGTTGTCTAATGTGTTATATTATCACCTCTCATCCTCCTTCTCCCTCTGAAACAGGTTGACAGATTGATGAAAGATGTGCAGAGTCCAGAAGGATCGAACGACAAGAGACTTCGCAGGTAGGCATTTATGATGACAGAGGAATGGCGGTGTTTTCTAAACTCATTTGTGTTTTTGCAGAATCAATGAAGGCTACGGCCATCTTAGCCTTTAGTAGGTTTTAAATATCATTTTAAGTTTAATACTATTCTTAATACTTGTCAAAAGATGTCTCGAGCTACAAATGTCTGCAGAGAAGACTTTAAGGACACTGCTGAGTTTAAGAAAGGTCAGTTTTCCAATCCCAAAACGGTCAAATAAAAGATCTTAGAGATGGGCAACAATTAAATGCTTCTGATGGATGATTGTAACTAAGCTGAGCTTACAATCTGCTGCTTTGATTTCCAGGCAGATGAGCTAGCTCCAGTGGGGAGCTATGATCAGAGGAAACAGGAAGAGGAGAAACGACTAAAAAACATCTTGGAGCGTCTGAACAAACTCTTTATGGAGATATCACCTCCAGGCCCCAGCAGTGAAATTGAGTCTGTACTTCTTAAAGAAAACAAACAGTATTGAATGCTACTGACATTATTTGCGCATTTTTAGGTTTAAATCCTGTGTTTTTAATTGTATTTTTTATCAGTAACACAACCTTCATTATGTTTCTTTTAAAAGAGTGAGATTTGTTGCGTCTGAAATGAATTTTGGTCGATTGCATTCAGTCCATTTTCTAGTTGCTCTGTTTCGCCCACAGCCATATTTCTAAAAACAACAGTGAAGGTGATGTTGGTGAAGATGATGACAAGGATAGTAGCGAAGAAGAAGATGACAACAACGACGATGATGATAATGATGACAGCGACGACACAGAAGTTGAAGATAATGACAGAACTGTGAAACCACAGCCGAAACCTTCTGTGTATACAGTCCTCTGTGATTTCAAAGGAGAGCAGGAAGGAGATCTTCCTGTTCAGGTGAAGTACTTCCTGTGTCACTAACACTTAGATCTTAGTCATACATTCAGCCACATTCAAGGGGCTCTGGAGGTGCTAAATAACAAAAATAAATGTTTAAGCTTGGGTTTTTTCCCCCTTCTTGTTACTTATTCAGTTAAAACAGAAGATGGCGCTACTGTAGTCCAGTGATCACCATTATACAACAGGAATGGGCACAACCGCCTTAAGAGACATACTATGGCTTTTCTCAAGTTACAGCAGTTTTATGGTTGATTCTAAACATTGTTAATGATGTCATTTGCATTAAATCCCTCTCACATAAAACTATATCAGCAGTTTTATTCTTGACAATTTCACTACCTTAAATAATGAGCCGTTTCATGGCTCTGTCACTTTAAAAGGGTACCAGGTAGTTTTGCTTGCTTTTATCACCCCCTAGTGTTCGTTATTAATTCACTGGTTATACTGAAAATGAAACTTTTCTCCTCGCTATGAGTTTGTCTTTTTAACACCTTAATCTAACTGCTGAAACATCTCCTTTGCTTTCATCAGTGTCTGCAAGAGTGATTAATCATTAAATCAAACAAATCAGCTGTGTTCATGATCTAAACATGCAGGAAACATGCTGGAAGCAGACTCCAGCTCCACACTACTCCACAGCTGCCTTCGCTAGCAGGGAGCGGCCCGCTAACTCTGAAGCTGCAAGTGTGGTTTTCTGACCACAGGGGGTGGTTTGGTCTGAGTAACATTTCATCAAACTTGTAAAGGGTAATTTTGGCACATACTGACACAAGAAAATAATTTATAAATATGATAACAGTTGCATAGAATCCCTTTAAGAAAACAAGTCGTCGTTAGCCATGCCCACCCCTCCCCTGATTGGCTGCTATGAACTGAGAAGCTCTGATATGCAGGAAGTAGTTGGAGTAGAGCTGGTGTTCCTCCAGCAGCAGCTTTCTCTTGCACGTGAGAGGTGTTTCTATGATAATTTCCCTATTTGTGACATCACAAACAATGACTTTTTTAAACGGCTCATTTTATGCCCTGGCAGAAAACAGGTGGAAAGATTTTTTTTATGTTTGGAGTGTTAATAGTAGTTGTAGAGACCCACACGGCAGCACAAAAGGGTGCAGAATGTGAATTTTACATAATATGTCCAACTAAAGAGGGAAGAAACACAAAAAAAAAGAAGTCTGAGAGACTTATTATTAAAATAATATGCCTCCTTAGGTGCCTTCTAATGTGTAAGGGTCATGAAACCTGTTTCCTACTCTTTTATCTCTATTGAGTCCTGGTTCGTTATATTTTCTTCTTTCAGAAGGGGGAGGTGTTGACAATAATTAAGAAGACAGCAGACGGATGGTGGCTGGCTCAGGACAAAAAAGGCAACAAAGGAGTGGTCCCAAAAACCTTCTTACAGGTACAGTATCAAATGTTTCAGCATCACAATCCATTCGTACAGATATTAAGCTAAAGATCTTATTATAAAACATTACCAATGATATTCATCTAAAATCTCATGTGGCTGTAAATACAGGGAGAGGTCAGTGTCTCTTCTTTTTTAAACAAACAGAATTCTAAACAATTTGATTTCACCCTGTGTATTAGCCTGGCTCTCGTGTTGGTGATGAGGATGATGACGAAGAGGACAGTGATGAAGAGGATGATGAAGATGAGTTAGAGGAGAAGGAAGAGGAAGTTAGGGAAGAAGTGGCTGATGGTCGAGACAGAATGAGGTTTTTTTTTCGTTTCAAGTGAAATATTCAGCATCTGGATTGTTTTACTTACAAAAACAAAAAGCGATAGTTTAAACTTATTTATTTATTTTATATATGATTTATTTATAATTTTTTTAATGTGTTTAAATAAAAAAATTTTACATTGCATTTGATTGGAATGTATTTATTTTTCTTATTTTTCTTTGGCAACAGAGCTTCCAACTGGTCGACAGTCAGAAAGGCTCTGACTCAGGTAAAACTGAACACCTGTCTCTTTAAATGATGAAGTAAAATCTTACATAATCTAAAGGGTTTCCCCCGATGGTCTTCTCTGTGTGAAACAGATTGATACCACAGATGTGCTGTCAGCTATGGGAGCCATACCATCGGGATTCAGGCCATCAACTCTTAGTAAACTGCTGGAGGAAGGTCAGTTTGCTGCAGGAGTGTGGAGTTTTGAACCTACTAGTTGATGCTGAAAATGGCGTAACTCCGTAACAAGTCTCAAAACAACTTGCAGGTGGACAAAATATTTTCATTGGTTAAATATTTATTTACTCTCATTTGGTGGTTTTGAAAATCCTTTAGCCAAAAACAGACCAATACAAAAGTATAATATCTGTTTTACATTCGTTTTGTTTGATCCGTTAAATTCCATTGCTTGGTTCTTATCTAAACAGCGCAGTAAAGATCTGTTTTTAACTTTTAGGCTGACAAGTTTCGGCTAATGCTGCGGCCTTCCTCAGAGCACCGCAGATGTTGGTGGGGTCACTTCCTTCTTCGTTAATCCGTTTAAGAAATGGAGAAGGAAGTGACGCCACGGACATCGGTGGAGCTCTGAGGAAGGCTACAGCGTTAGCCGAAACTTGTCAGCTTAAAAATGAATGAAAAATACACCATACTCATCCTCTAGAATGAACCCTCACATTTCATGTATCTGGATGTTTCATGCTTTAAATATTAGGTTGTAAGAACCTTAGTACACTGTAAACCCGGTTTAGTTGAGTTTACTAAACATTCCTGTTCCCCTCGAACCATGCAAGTTTTACAAAATGCTGAAAGTAAACAGATTTAGTTCAACTAACATGGACGGTCGTTAGTCTCTTCTAAAAAGGATTAATTCAATTAAGTATTTTTTTAAATACTTAAGTGAATTAATAAAAAAAATTTAATACTTAAGTTGTTTGAAATAACTATATTAAAGTGACTGTGTGTATTTTTCCTGGCTACAGGGGGCAGTAGATACCTAAATCGTTGCAAGCAAGCAGTATTTTTGTGTTGGAGTAAGACCTTACCAATGGATGATCATTAGAGTCAAAAAGCCCTGGGGAGTGCAAACCTTAGCAAAATAACAAGCACATCAGACTCCCTTTCATCACTGGCAACAAGTGGAGGTAAATGTGTAAAACAACAACATTTAACAATGATGAAAGTTTTGCAACCGTCTGTTACAAATAAGTAAATGCATTTTGTCCTCATGGGCTCCCGTAGAAGGAAACATGGCATCTAATACGGCGTTGCCCAGATACTTAAACCCGCTCCCATGTATTTTAGACCTGATTTAAAGAGACAATATATAGTTTTTAACCATTAATCTCTGGAAATATCCATCAAAATTTTGTTGAAAAGGAATGAAACAATGCCCAGTTGTTAAAAAATAATGGCGACTTCGTAACATATAACTATAAAAATGAGGTCTGTGTGTCTGTTGCTGCTGCCTCTTGGCTAGATCGTCATTGTAAATGAGAATGAGTTCTCAATTAAATAAATACAAAAAAAGTCTAAAATACATGAGAGCAGCTCTACATCTCTGGATGACACCATATTAGATGCTATTTTTCTATGGGAGCCCATGAGGACAAGACGTATTTACAGATTTTTAACAAACGGTTATAAAACTTTCACCATTCATAAACGTTGTTTTACACCTTTACCTCTTCACTCGTTGCCAATGACGAAAGGAAGTCTGATGTGCTTGTTATTTTGCCGGATGATGGATTATGTTCATTTGTAAAGAAGTTTTTTTTATGTAGCGCCTTTCAAGAGAAAAATCAAAAAGTGCTTAACTAGCTCAATGACATTTTTGAAACTTATTAAAAAGATAATAATAAAACAAAAAAGAAATAAAATTAAGGTTAGAAATAAGAATGAAGATGGAGAAAAGAAAGAAATCCAAATAATGTGGTTTCTACAATTTAATACCTTTTTTGGTAATAAATAACAATAAATTACATTGGTGTGGCAGAAAATAAACACAACCATGTTTCAAGACATTTAATTTAAAATTTTTTGAACAAAATAATGCAAAATAAATTTTTGCAACAAAAGTGAACTACAACTTAACCACTTTTTCAAACGACAGCATAAAAATAAAACATTTGCAAAATATCTACAGTCTGCTTTACAGTCAGCACAAACCTGAGGTCTATGACTTTGATCTACTGTTGGCTATAAATGAAAAATGTCACATTGAATGTATGAAGATGGTTCCGTAAAGTTTTTTACAGCCATGTTTGTAATTTTAATGAACTGATGTTACGTTACGAATTAAAAATACCGAAAAATGCTCAACAGTTCCCCTAGCTGCTTTTTTTAGAATATTATTTCTCAGTCTGTCAGAGATTCATCTCTAATTTTACCTGTAATTTGAAATCTGTGCACTGATTATTTAATTTCAATGATAGGCCAGGCTTCTAGATTCTGTCCTTCTGTATGAATCAGGTCAAAATTCTCACCCTTTTGTCTCGTTTTAGATGCAAAATTCAAAGCAAGTCACTTTGTTCAGCCTGAACTCAGCCAATCACAGCTTTCCTTTAAAGACCTCTTCTTGGACCCAGACTCTGGCAGGGTGAGCGTGCTATTCTGCTGTTTATTAGAGAACAAGCTCCCTTGTGTCTCATTAGGATGATTACTTCTTGCTGTGGGTGACATCCACTAATGAATTTTCCTTCTGGACAGAACAGCTTTGTTGCATGAACTCATTTGTTTCTTGTCGTGTAGGTCCGTGCTCGCCAGGTCAGGACTTGTGTTTGCTTCACTTTGTGGAGCTGCAGGATGATTCCCACACCTGGAGTGGGAGTTCAGGTCCTCAGCAGACACGTTCGTCTCTGCGCCTTTGATGGAACTCGGGTACAGGACGTGTTTTAGTTTTATACGTGCCGCCATCATCACCTCCGAACTTGTTTTTAACAATAGCAGCGCTTGTTTTTCAGGTGCTTAGTAATATTCACACGGTGAGGGCTTCTTATAATTCAAAAAACCTGAAGACCTGGAGCTTCTCTCCGAGGGTATCTGCTCTTAAACACTAAACAACGAACTTTTATTTCATTTAAATTTAGATGCAGCACTGCAATAATTGTTGATGCGATTATTTTCCTCCCAGATGAGCGGCATCCTGCCCACTCTCCTTAACGGGGACTGTTTCCTGCGCTGCAACGCATTGTCTCCTAACCTTGGAGTTCTCTTTGAGCTCGGAGTCACGTTTTTACGAAACGTAAGAAAACATCTTTGTGATGCAGAGGAGATAAACCTTGAGGACAATACTTGCTATTATAGATGTGCACAGTGACATCTTGTTTTAGTCTACAGGTGAGAGGGGAGACTTGAGCTGTGGCTGGGCCTTCTTGAAACTGACTGATGACGCTGGAAATCCACTTCCAAACAAGTAACAAACACAACGTCATTCAAACAGATGGATCTGTGAATGAAGACAAGGGGCAATAACCAAAATTGTGTCACAACCTGCATGATTTCAATCTCCTCTTTATAGAACCTACGAGCTGCCAGTGAATGGAGGCACTCCTTATGAGAAGGATGTTATAGGGGAGATAACAGCTGGTAGAAGATGTAAGAAAAATAACAGCTGCATAAATAAATGAAAAATCATAGCAAACATCTACATTTTTTTCTTTCTTTAGCTCCAACTGGTGTTTTCCAGCAGATGCTTCATGCCAGACGAGAACCAAAACTGATTGTTAAACTAAAACCGGCTAAAAGTCACACCAGAGCACAGCTAAGGTATGAGACATTCTTTGAGAAAGGTTGGCTAAAAAGCTGGAAAACCTGCAACAGATGATGTCATCAATAGATCACTCAGAGGTTTAGTCAGACTCTATCCGGGGTAAGTGTAAGGGGCTCTGCACACGGGCGGCGACAAACGACCGCAATCAGCGAAATTGTCACTGTCGCTTTTATTACCTGACACATGGGAGGCGGCCAGCGGCAAAGCCGTCTACGCGTTCTGTTCCATGGCGAAATTGAAACTTCCGTTGTTTTGTTTGACTGTGTCAGGTTGGAGGGAATTAAGGTTATTTAAGCGGTTCAGAGTTTAAAAAGTGGTAGATTTGATGTTTCACAAGGTGCTGCTAGAGTTATGTGAAATCTTACTTGTGATTTTACTATATAAAACATAATAATAATCAACCTCTTCATGTTTGCTCGGAGGTGTACGGAGCATCCTGTCCGCTCATTGGTCAGTGAATGAAACCTTCGTTGATTGATCCTCGTCCGAGCGACAGTGATGAAAAGTTGAAAATATTTCAACTTTCTGGGATCGCGTCGCTGGGTCGCCTGTGCATGACACGTGCACGAGCGCAAAATTTCACACGCACGTTTTTCACGTTTCGCTTAGTAGGAGGGAGACCCGCGATGATCGCTTTGTTGCGCATGTCTCATTGAAAATGAATGGAGGAGAGGCGATGTCGTCTCCTGTGTGCAGAGCCCCTTAGGGCCCCTTTGGGTGCATATGTTGAAACTTATAGAGCCTGTACACAGTTTTTTTTGCACATTTTGTGTTGGCAGACCTCTTTAAACATCAGTCTCTAGAATATGTAAGTGAATTTACCTAAAGGGGACATATTAGGCACAACTGTGCTGTCACATGGGTCTTTACTGCCTCTATAAACACTCCAAACATGAAATAATGCATCCATCCTTTTTTGATAGTATTTGGTTTTTGGAATTTTGTGCCTAAAACAAATTGTCTCAAAAAGTTCCCATTTGTGATGTCACAAACGGGGAAAGTAGAACAGAACAACCTCTCACTTGTAAGAGAGAGCTGCTACTTGATGAGCAGCGACTCTACTCCAAGCCTCTTAACAATATTGTAGCTTCTTAGTTAATAGGGAGCCTAATTCACACATCTACTTCCAGACCATCGGTCCCCGGAAGAACGAAAAAATGAATGCAAGTCAATGTGGCTAAAAACGCTATTTTCTAATTCTGCTTGTTATGTGCCATGGATTTTGCATATGATGTCCGTGAATTTTAAAGACACATTTTGATACCAAGAACATGCTTATTTTCGAATGGGGGAAAACGCTATTTTAGTTTTTGTGTGAAAATAAGTCCAGGCCTACAAATGCGCTTCACGAAAGTGAGGTCATTGAACCAGACACGGAGAAAACTGAGGGAAAATGCTGTAAGTTCATCAAAATTCCCACAGAAGGAAAGAACCACCATAAATCTGGTGATCTGGTAAGTAGCAGCTACTTTGAGGAGAGAAGATTATGTGGTGACATCACATATTCAATGTGCCGATTTCTGGTGTGTCGTCATGCTGATTACGAACTTTTACAAGGTAATAAATCTCAAAGTACGTGACTGGTGTGGTCAAAACACCCATCAGTAGTTTTCATTTAAATTGCAGTACAACATATGTGCGATCCAGGGCATAAGGCAAAGGGGATTAGAAAACAGCATTTTTAGCCCCGTTGACTTGCATTCATTTTTTCGTTCTTCAGGGGACCCGTGAGCCAATTGGAAAGGGAGGAAACTTAGGCTCCCTATAGCAGCCTGAGTGGGGGATGGGTGGGCGTGGCCAACAACAGCTTAACTTCTTAAAGTGACAGCGCCCTGAAACGACTCATTCTGGAAGGTACTGAAAGTGTCCAGACTAAAACTACTGAAATTGATTTATGTGAGAGGGATTTTGTGCAAATAACTTCATAAACATGTTTTGAATTGGCCATAGAATTTTTATAACTGATGAAAAGAATCTAATATGTGCCCTTTAATGCAAAAACAAGACTTTCCAATTAGGACTTTATTAAAATGTTTTTAGCAACAGTCATTACTTTTAGAGTGGATAGCAGCAGTCGGGCGGTCTCTGATTCACCTCTGTTAGAAGCTGCAAAAGAGTTAAAAATAACAAGCGCTCGAAAAATGTATGTTAAACAAACATGTCAAGCCAAAAAGAGAAAGATTTGTGTCCATTGTAGACTAATGATGAATTATGTGATGAAAATCCCTCTTTAGTCTCCTTCCAGACACCCTGCTGTACTGTCTGAGCTGCGTTGACCTGCTGGCTCTGCACCGACAGCTGCTGGCCGACACGCTGCTGATGGACAGGCCCACCATGCAGAATGCAGGTGGTGCTCTTTGCTGCACACAAAACCGCACAAATTGCAGTTTTTACCCCAGTTTCAGTAAACTGTGTCTGGTTTAGATCTCATTTGCAATCCGGTCCTTTCAACATTTCCCGTGCTGCTGGATGAGACAGACCTGATGGACGCCCTCAGGGTGAGAGCGGGTACATTTTAGTGATGTTGGGATGCAAATGCATTCATAACTTTATTCATTTGTTTTAAATACTGTTTCATTTGTGTCCAAGCAGGCTGCAAACCAAGTTAAATATGTGGAAAATTTCACATGATTGTGTTTTCTTGTAGAGTGCCTGGCTGGAAGCTGAGACCAGCAGGAGCAGAGCACAGAAGGTTTGTATGAGTCTGTTGTAAAATCAACACAAACCTGCAGAGGGTGCTGTTGGTATGAGAAATTTCAATATGTTTATGTGCAGAATGCTCATCTTATGAGAGAAAAATTGTACTTTGTGTGTTTCTGCAGAGAGACTTGGCATATCTGAAAGAAGAGTTCCGTAAACTCTATATGTCATCTGTTTACTTTTTGCTCCACTCGCCATCGTTGCCCTGTTATCACTGGGCAGACCCGCCCTCAGAGGAACAGCGAGCCAGAGTCATCTATGCCACCCTGATGGCTCTAAAAATCCAGCAGCCTACCACCGACCAATCAGGAAGCTCGGAGGTCTTCTTTGATTCTACTCATTCACACCTTGCTTTTGATGTCCAAGAGTTGACTTTTGATCTCCTTCAAACCGCACGGTGACATTAAAATCACCTTACAGAGCCAAAGGGCCATTGGATACAAAATACATTTTCCACAAGTTTGTATTGATTTAAAAATGACTTTTTATAGTTTAACAGAGGACTTTTTACTCTTAAATGTTTTATTAAGGAGGAATATTCTATTTCTATTGTATTCAAGAAAAAAATAATTACAAAACTTTTACCAATGCTCAAAAAATAGTTTTTTTAATACGCAATCCTAAAAAAAGTGTTATGGGTTGGGGGCTTGTCCGGGATTCAAACAGCACAAAACAGACGGGGCAGTAACCCGAGCACTGGTGGGCGGCATCCGTAACAATAGTTTGACTTTATAAAATAATTTCCCACTAACTCCCTGTTGCTCATTTGGGAGTTTTCTTTAACAGGTTTGTTTAGCAGTACAGAGGAATTAATTAAATCACACTTTTTATGAGCCAAGACAAGTTTTGGACCTTTTCTTTGAATCTCTCATGAGCTCTCGAAAGGATTTATTAAAAACGAGAAAACATTTTTTTTTCTATTTTATTATTTAATGTCTAAATAAAAATGTTTTATTAGGCTAAGTGTCTCCTGTATTCTCTTCAGGTTAACCTAAAAAAATACAGCAAACAATTAACAATAATATTCTGTTTTCAATTTTATAATAAACATTTTGGATCAGCTGTTGGATTGTTGCTACATTTTTATCTGAAGCTGCTTTTTCAGCTGTGTCGTTTTGGTCACTGAGAAGCTCCAGTCATCTCCACCCACTAGTTCAACACCAGTTATGTGTGTGTCTCATTGTGTGTGTAGTAGTGTAGAGTTACAGAACACCATAACAGCTTAAGGGTTAATAATTAGTTGGCAGGAGTTTTTTTTAGCTTGGTATATAAGGAGAGGACCAGTGGGAGGTTGGATCAGTGTGAGCTCAGATGGTTTCACATCCAAAGTGACATGAAAACACGACAGTTTAATACAATAATGATTATGTTGTAATCAAATTGCTAAAACATATGTAGTTCTTTATGAAAGAGTTTTAATAGCTCAGTCTAAAAGAGTTCAATCAGTAAGATCAAGAGATTATTTACTTTCAGAGCTTGTTGTAAAATTATAATATTCTTGACTTTTTCACCAAAACAACCTGTGTGTTGTGCTGATTTTCCAGTGGACTTCCAGAGTTAATTTTAATTCTTTAGAACATAAGAAAGCTTGACAAAAACAAAAATTTGATAAAAACCAAGCAGAAAACAGAAACCAATCAAAATAAACAATAAAATCCAATACATAAAACATACATATATAACAACGAAACACAAACGGCATAAGAAGCATTGGTGGGACTCAAATTTAACTTGAATTAGAGACCATCAAGTTCATGTTTAGCAATGATTTAAGATGTGGAGCACTCGTTTGATCAATACATTTGCAGTGAGCTTTAGTCGGAATGATAAGTCGTATGGGGGAGGGGACACAAGGCTGGTGCACCTTTTCTAGGAACTAGAGGTGACCCACATCACAGTTGAGCTTCAGACAACAGGTTTTGGAGTCTTATTTCCTGATATTTGGACATCTTGCCTCAGATTGGATAACAGCAACACAACTAAACGCTGACTTGTAATGCTGATGTTTTATGTCCACAAATAACACAAGCCTGGAGGAGTTCTGCTGTGTTGTAGTTATTATTGCTAACGGTTAGCTAACAGCTAATGGTTATCTGCTGTTTTCTGGACGTTAAATCAACAACAGCCTTCCCCATCGCAAGTCAAGGTGGGCAAGTCCATGAATGTTAAGTGATAGTGTGACGTAGATCTGTCAGCTTTTTCAAATCCTAGTTTCATCATCTATTTTCTATCAGAAGCTAATGCAGAAGATATGGAGACTATTTTCATGTTCAGCCTGCATGAAAAACTCACAGTAGCAGATTATAATCAGTAATAAGATTCATTAAAATGTTTTTCAATGTTCCACACACCTTTAAGGACTTTACAAACTGCAGAACAAACATGAAAGGGGCAGGTTCTGTAGTTTAGGCGCTGATCCTGCAAAGATCCCATCCATGTTTAGCCCTAACACGATTGCGGTGCTCTCTTAGGTTCTAAACATGGATTAGTTCAGTTTAACAGCTGGACATTTAAGCAGTTTTAAACTTTAAAATTAAACTAACCCTCAAATCAAAGCAAAGTCAGACGTGCAGCCAGTGTTACTCTGCTATCACGAGAGGGATGTCATGCCTTCTAAACTACTGGACCAATCTAGAACATGTTATGGTGAAATGCAGGAGTCCAATCTAAAGGGAATAAAGGCTTGAAAAAGTTTTCAAGATCTTTTTGACTGTAACTGATTAAAAACATATTTATCAAATGTGAACAATTCTAATTTCAAAGATCAATTTAAAACTGCAATGAGTAGAAGAGCTCTTTAGTTACTCTTTACTTTTGCAAGAATATAAACATTTATTTATCTGAAATAGGCTAAAATGTTACAAAGGCAGATACAATGTCTACAGATACACGCTGAGTCTTTATGTGGTTTAGTGTTGCAGGTGCTTCATTTTCCACATCCTGTATTTCCACATTCCTTTGCTGTTACTGTGGCGACTGCAGAGAGTTGCACTTTGCTGACAAAACGGCAGGAAACAGCATCCGAGTGCGTTTGAAATGAACTATTGTTTAGAATTTCAAGAGTCAAACTTTACGTCAAACTTCTTAACAGCAATACACTTTCTTTCCCTCTTTTCTGACTTTATTTAGGTGATAAAGAAATCATCCTAACAAACTTATTCTTGAAAAATAATGCACTTTATTGCATTTGAGTCTTTACTGGTGCTAATGTGCCTCTTTACTAAGAATAATGAATACAGTTATGAGTTAGCTGATGTCTTTTAAAGCTTGACTAACTCAGACTGTTAGCATTTGTCTCCTATAGAGCTCCGGGAGTTGACGTCACTTCTCCCGGCATGCAACAGTTCAAATCGAAACAGCCCCATGTTGGCAGGCAGAAGCCGGCAGCTGGACTATTTGTTATTGTCAGAAAACTCAAACGGGAAATATGGTAGATTCCTGTTGTGCCCCAGGATGCCAAAACAGATGCGGACGACATAAGGAATGAGCCATCTACAGGATTCCCCAAGTTCCGGAACGCCGCAAACGTTGGATCATTGTAATAAAACGCACTAGTGACCGGGCTAAAATGAAACTGTGGGATCCCGAGAGTAAAGGTTTTCGCTTATGCAGCGACCGCTTCATATCAGGTACTTAAACCAACATTTCCTCAACTGTGTATGGTATTTATTTTAAATGCTTTTATTACGATTCTTAGTGGGCTTCCTAAACTTATTTTGGCGTGGCTTTTTCTATCTTATTACTCATAGCAACAAGTAAACATCACGTAAAACGTTGCCTCGTGATTTCTGCGTGCTGCCGTTTACGTGTCTTATGCTCACAGCAATTAACCGGCTAAGCTGTATTTCATTTTTAAGCAATGGTTGATCAATTGTCAGATCACACATAAAAAGCACTTTGGATTGCTATTATCTGTCTCACAGAGACAGATCTCAGACAGATCCTGAGAAGCTCCTGCCTGACATTTATTTTATTCACAGAAAAAAATCAAACTAGTGATTTCTCTTGGTGTTCAGTTTATACATTCAAACAGCACAGCACTCTGCTTACACGTAAATCTGTGTTATTTGTCCATCCATCCACCCATTTTCATCCGCTTATCCAGAGTCGGGTCGCGGGGGCAGTAGTCTAAAGTTAAGAGGCCCAAACTTCCCTCTCCCCAGCCACTTGGGCCAGCTCCTCCGGTGAAATCCCAAGGCGTTCCCTGGCCAGGTCCGCTCCGACAGCTTCTGGTGTTTTAAAAAGTATCCCAGGGGCATGTTAAGGTTTGGCGATGTTTAATCTATTTAATTTCTGACTATATAAAACGATTCCTTCGGTTTTAAAGTGTGAAATAAACTCAGACGGATTAAAATCCAAGCTGATTCCGTTCATTTTGTTTACCTTTGTTGCCTGCCAACATGGCGTCTACTCTCTGAGAGTCACGTGACGTCCAGAGCTCTATAGGTCATAAATGGCGGTTTGACTGACATTAGAGGGATAAAAAAATGACAGATAATCTGTATCCTGTTAGAAGATCATTGAATGTTGCATTTTTGTGAGAGAAATGATACTTTAGCCATGAAAGGAGGTCTGATTGTGGACTTTTGTCACCTGGATACACTGAGACATCGTCACCTAGTTTTCTTTGTGCGCAAAGACAGCTATTGTGTCCGAGGAGGAGGAGGAGGAGTAAGGAAAGAAGCAATCAGGGAAGTGAAACTTGCAGGTTGGAAATAAAATCCAAAAAGCGAAAAAAAAATAGACAAAAGTACATTTTAAAGGAATTTTAATGAGGATTTCAAAGTCGTAAGAGTTGCATGATGGTATGTTTGTCTGGCAACAGGCGTCTCTATTGGTCATAGCTGACTTTCATGTCACAGCCAGCTCCTCTTTAAAAAACATGTCTGAAAAGACATTTATTTAATGTAAAATTTGCCATTTTTTTGTTTGGAACATAAAAAGTCAATGTGTTTTTATGATAGAGAGGTCAAAGGTCATCAGCACCAGAGCAGCTGCAGCAGAGCGCCAAAACGATTCAGTAGCAACATGGAGAAAGAAAAAGCTCTTGCAGACTGTGTTGCCAACTCAGCAACTTTGTTGCTGTTCCTAACGACTTTTTGACCCCCCTCAACGACCATCCCTGTTTACACATACAGCTCTGCGGCTCATCTGAATTTCCTTCAGTGACACAGGGATGGTTATACTATGAGACACCCGCTTCCTTTTGCTCGGTGCGCCGTTATTATCACGATGGAGAGAAACACAACAGAGAAGTTGAGAAACTATGAGGTGTAAAAAAAACTGCTTTTTAGGAAAATGTCTGTGAGAATGAGGAGAGCAGGAGGTCTGAGTTATATCCTACAACAGAACTGTTTGGATCACCACACCATATCTGTCTTAATGTCACTTTATTGATAGTTTTGGAATTAATTGTACATGTCAAAGCAATTTGGGCCATTTTAATCATACTAATTAATAACTTTAACACATAACATAGTTTTTTATTTTCCTCCCTTTTAGTCCTATATATATATATATATATATATATATATATATACATATATATATACATATATATATACATATATATATATATATATATATATATATATATATATATATATATATATATATATATATATATATATATTATATTATTATGGGGAAAAGAACGCCAGTTTGGCGTGATGACGTAATCAATGTGTAAATTAGCACGTGATGTCATCTGGCAACATCTAGCGACTTTTGGGGGCAACTTCAGCTACTTAGAGTCAAAAACAGTTGGCAACACTGCTTGCAGATTTATCTCCTCATGGTGGAGTGAAAGTTCATCAGTATACGATCTTCAGGGATTTTTGTAAAATCTTATTTTAAATGTTTAAAAGGCATTTTCTCAAAAAAAAAACTGTCCTTTTTACTGCCTGGCAACATCTGACATCTACTGGCAGAGTTCCCATGGAATTGTGTGTGTGTGTGTGTGT